CAGCAGCAGCATCAGCCGCAGCCGTAGCAGAAGCAGTCCCGAGTAGCAGCGCCCGTCCTCCTACAACTGCCGGTCACAGCGGTGACAGAGAAACAGAGAAGGAAGGAGGAAGCAACAGCCGCGCAGTACCTGAAGGTGAAGCAAGCAGGCGAACGAGTCAGAGGCAGCAGCCACTCATTCATTCAGCCAGCAAGTCATTCGCTTTTGGCACGTGTCCGCAGGTGTAAGATCGCGCGTACAGTGTGTACAGCGGTGTAGTGCTGCAGGTTTCTTGCCACTGCACTGCGCTGGTGCCTTCTCACCTCACCGCCATCACCCCCGCCCATCACCAGCCATCACATCATCATCATCACCCTCTTCAGTATCCTCACTACCACCACCTCCATTCACCATCCTCCCCCTTCTTCCCCCCGTGCTTTTGACTCTCGTCGACGTCCACCCGCGACGTCCGACGGGTACCAGAAAAGGCAGCCACCACGGGGCTCGCAGTAATGGCGTGTTGTCTCAGCGAGGAGGCGAAGGAGCAAAAAAGGATCAATCAGGAGATTGAACGCCAGCTTCGCAAAGACAAGAGAGATGCCAGACGAGAACTTAAGCTCCTACTTCTCGGTAAGTCCAGTGGCCCCGGCTGACCACTCGCTAATACGACTTGATTCACTTTAACTAGCCCCCCTCCTTCTTAAGAAAGCCATAAGGTTAATGTCAAACTGTAGTGTGATTAGCGGCGGTAATAGTAGTGTAGTAGTCTAGTAATTTGTGTCCACGAGATGTTTTCCCGCCTCGGGGAAAAGAGGTCTTTGTCTCATTCAGTGAATGGAAGGGAGGGAGAGAGAGCCACCGGGCAAATAGTGAGCGCGTGGTCGACAGCCACAGTCTGTCTTACACACAGTGCCTGGGAGCTGGAAGGAAGGAATCGCGCATCAGAATCGCCCACCACAAGCGACAGCAGAAGCAGTGGCAGAGTCAGTGGGCTGCAGTGGAGAGAGAACAGCAGCAGCAGCAGCAGCACCTCGTTCTGCGTTTGACCTCAATTCCCCTTTTCGCTGCTCCAGTTTCACTCTGGCGCTCTCCGTGATCTTCACTTCTTATTATTTCGTTGGCTCCCTCACCCACTCTCTCACTTTCCCCGACCCCCATTCTCGTGGCGCACTTGTTCCTGAACTTGGGATCCAAGCCAAGCCCAGGCTCGGCACTCACTAGGGCGAATGCTGTTCGGTGCCACACATCCGCTCGCTTTTGCTGACTTGCTTTCTCCGGCGCGTTCTCTCTCTCTCTATTTACTCTATGTCTGTTTATTATTTCGATGGTCAAATGAGAAACATTTGCCTGCTAACTGACTGACTTCTGCTGCTGCTGCAGCTGATGCGGTCGCTCTAGTCGATCGAGACAAGTTGAACTTTGCTTTCATTTAGCCGCTAGTGGCCGATTAGATCAGGCCAACACTGGTCGCAGTACTGCTGCTGCTGATGGTGGTGGTGGTGGTGGTGGCCGAGAAAGTGCATGCATGCACTTGCATGCAAGTCGGCTAGCGGTGAAAGCTGAACAACAGCGACAGGCAAAGAAAGTGTAAAGAAAGGCGGAGCGGCCCGTTTTTCCTGCAGCCCTTGGAGCTAAATGATCAGTGATCATTGCCAGTGCCAAGTGACACGAAGGAGCCGTTGTCGCCGTCGTCAGTCTTTCTGTCGCACTGCGCTTCACTCAGTGCTTCGGAGTTGCTGCTGAAGACACTTTTCAGCCACCACCACCAGCACTGCTCGATTGCGCCACTGGACAGCAGGCACTACCAATCGATGTCAGACAAGGAGAGAGAGAGTGAAAGTGAAAGTGATGCTAATGCCAAGGAGCTCGTGGTGCTTTCCCCTGTCCTCCGCCAGTATCTTCCCTTCTCTGGTTTGCCAAGGCTTTTTCTTTCGCTCTCTCTCTCTCTCTCTCTCCGTTTGCCAGCCAGACAAACGCCGACCAACAGACACCGACCAGCCGACAGCTGAGCCGCTCAACCGAGATTGTGGGCAGTGTGTGACCACTTTTAAAACTCACACAGTGTCGCAGTCTCGTGTTCCCAGTGTCAAGTGCTGCTGGCTTCCTCACCGAACGCTCTGCCACTCTCAGAGAGAGTGCGTGTGATTTGGAGCCCAATCCAGGAGGAGGACTGCATTAATTAATTTTGCTCGATTTTCCTCGTCCGACGAGGATAAGAAGTGTGCCACGAGGAGAGTGAGGAGCAAAAGTTTCACATCTCTTACTGCTGCTACTGGACAAAGGAAAAGAAGAAGAAGGAGAAGGAAGGCAATGGCAAAGTTGAGGACGGCTACGAGCACGCCACTCATACATAGAGACACACTTCATACACTTTATGCACTTTAGTGAGACTTGTCTCTCTCTCTCTCACTCTGGAGAAGAAGGCATGTGAGTCGGTTTGTCTCTGTTTGTCGAATGATGTCTGGTCGACGACGCCGAGTTTCCTCGTCGCCGCCATCCTCCTGGATGTGTCTATTGAATGTATGTGGCCTTGTACTGCTCTTGTCTTCAGCCGCCTTCAGTGTGCTCTACCTTGCTCTCTGGCCACCGACGAGCGATCGCACTACTGTCACCACCGGCGTCACCACCGAGCCAACGACCAAAAAAGACGAGTGTAGTGAACAGGAAAAGAGGAACGAGACATCACTCACTTACTTACCCATTCATTGATTCACTTACTTGCCAGACGTAGGAGATCGCTCATTACTGACGCCGCTGCTTCTGTTACCAGGCGCTTTTACCCAGCACAAAGAAGGTTCGACGTTCACACTGACCGTCTGTGCCTTTACTTTGCTCAGTTTCTTTCGACGGTGAGGTGCTGCACTCGCTCACCACGTGTGTTTCCCTCTTTCATTGACAGTGACAACTTTTTGGGAGGGAATCTCTTTTGTTCAGCATTTTCATCCACTCTAGTTGGAAAATGATATCAGTTTAGAAAATAAGGAGCAATTCACTTCCACACTACAGGAATGGCATTGATGCGAGTGCGATCACTGATCAGCAGCCACCACCACCATCACCGTTACCAGTGTGATTCTCCTTGAGCATTGCACACACACAGCCCAGCACAGCAGCACATTTGTTTGAATTCCAATGCCACCATGTGCAGCAGCAACAACAACACAAATCTCCCCAGATAGACAGAGACAGAGACGGAGACATGCACAGGCAGTCAATCGGGATGTGGTCGTCAGGAGGGCGAATCATCATCGGCGGCAGAGGCAGCCAGCAGCAGCAGTGGTACAGCAGCGGCAGAAAAGGAAAAACGGACTGATCAGCGGCACTTTGGTGCCGTCGCTGTGCCACCGCCCCGTCGCTGATCGTGGCTGCTTTTTCTCTCACTGCTAATCGTCGCGCCAACTCGCCGTCGATGTTCGCACATTGTCAGCCAACTGCTGCTGCTGTAGGCAGCACCTAGTCAGATTCTGCTTTCAATCAGACGGCGCGTGCAGGCAAGCAGGCACCACTTGATGGCTGCTGGAGCAGCACAGACGCTCTCCGTTAGGCCAGTGCAATCACTCCTACCACTGCTGCCGCCATCACCACCATCAGTGCTGGCATCAGTGCACCGTCTCCTCGGTGGCCCTATGAAACTAAATCCAAGCTGGCGAGAATGTGTAATGTAAACCGAAGCGGGGAAAAGGGAAAAGAGAAAGAGAGAGAATGCATTCTTCGATGCCGATGGCTCGCTGCTGCTGCTGTTTACACGATAATTGCCTTGTATTTTGGTACAAGGTGTTGGCAGATGAAGGCTGAAGCAGCTCAGCGCAGTCTAAGTTGAGTTGAGCTCACGCCTGGCGCCTGAGCTCACTGCCACTGGTGGAATGGGCATGCTTCTGTTTTGCAAGGAGGCCATATCACAGTGAGTGTGGAGTTCGCATCGGATACCAACTGCTGGTCTGAACGTCTGTGTTTCGACCGCCGATCTCTGTGCCCCCTACTCGACCAGATACTCGCTGAACATCGGTTGTGGCTGTGGCTTTGCCTTCGCTTTGCCTGCTGTCTCTCTCTAACAACACCACCAGTTAGTCTACACACACACACACATTTTCACTTTACCACCGACTGTCTGTCTGTGGCGAGTGTTCTCGGTGCCATTGCCGATTGTGGTGTGCTGATGCTGATGCTGTTGGTGCTAGATGGTGTCTGAGTGTGTGTGTGTGTGTGCTTGCATTCTTGAAATAGATCACATTCGATAGAATGCACAGACATTATCGCCTGTTTGATGTTGCCACTCTTTGCCTGACGATCGTTGTCTTGATAGGTGATTGATAGGCTCCATCGGAATGCAAAGTCACTGGCGCCGGCAGTGGCGGCAGCAGCAGCATCAACAGCATCAGTTTGCACTGCTGCCGTGCACAGCTCCATCGTCGGCAGGAAGTGTGTGCCCTCGACGGCTCACTTCAGTGCTGGCTGGCACCTCGCACTGCCCTCCAGGCCCACTTGATGCTTTCCACCGGGTGAAGTTGCTGTGGTGGTGGTGCTGGTGGTAGACAGCAAACAACAACAGCACTCTACCAGCACCAGTTTTGCCTTGGTGGACACAAACACACACACAGGCAGACAAGCAGACAGACAGACTTACACTGGCTAGCACAAACTCACTCGCTTTAGATGCAGCTGTTTTGGGGCGTGAAAGTCTCGGTGAAAATGCTCCAACAAAGTGAGAGAAAAAGAGAGCTGTCAGAAAAAGATTGTGGTCTACCAAGAAAGAGGGAAAATGAGGGGAGAGTGAGAGTGTGCAAGAGCTAGCGCCATCGGTGCGGTGCCATAAATTGGCCTGTATCTTAGATACTCTGCAATTTGGGCATTGTCGCCGTCGGGCGGTGGTTGGTGTTATTGCCGGTGCTGCTGCTGCCTCTCCTACTTCTGCAGTGGATGCATTAGCCGGGCCAATCGAACTGCGCATTAATCACAATCGATTGGAGCACTGATTTGCAGCTGCACTGTGCACAGTCTCTTTCTTTCTTTGAGAGAATGTGTGTCGGTGTGAGAGTATGCCTGCTCTCCTCAGTTTTAGTGTCTCAATCAAATCAGTCAAGTCAATATTTCCGCCATTACTGGTGGATAGAGTCCGCCGGTTGCCAGTTAGCACCAGTCTTCTGCGTCCTCCACCCCATCACTTTCAGTGGGGCACTTCACTTTGGTAGGCCTTGCTTTGCTTGTGGTGTCCCTGTCTGTGTGGAGCTCTCTCCAGGCTCCAGTCTAGTCGAGTCACCCTTTTCTGTGTTTGTGTCCCTTTCTCTTTTGATCGCGCCACGTTTCTGTCTACCTCGCCAGTTTGCTGATGGTGGTGCAATTATTACTTTGCCATGGACTGCCACCAGTTAACCCACACAGCTTAGCCTTATCTCGCTCTCTGGATCACTCTGTCAACCTAGACTGACTGACTGACTGGCTGGCTGACTGTTGTCCTCTTGAACGCAAACCACCTCGGTTTGATCTTCGGTAATCTTTGCCATCTAAACGAGGACTCTAATGAACGACTGTTGCTGCCGCTGTTGTTGCTGCTTCATTGCTGGGAACAGTTCTCCAGCATTCAGCATTGTTTGTAGTGAGATTTGAGGCATGTGGGCACCCCAGCAGCAGCAGAAGTAGAAGCACTTGATGATGCTGTCGATTGTAATTGAGAAGGCATAAACAAAATGTTGCTTTCCCACTGTATTTCGTATCAATGGATGATCAACACAACCAAAGTTGATGCTGTTGCTTTTAGTTCAACGGAATAGCCGGAAAGTTTCACCAGACATATGTCTATATCTAAACGATTGCCTTTCCTGTTCACTGTCTTGCCCAATTTAGGTGCTGGAGGGGTGATGGTGATTCAACACCACATTTGAGTGGTGGCTATGATTGCAACCAGGTAGTCTCTTAGTTTACCCTAGCGACATTTGCTCTTCCATTTGCGATCTTTTCCCCTCATTGAAACGTTTTTTATCTTTGTTGGCTTTTGCTTTGCCAGATCGATTGGCCTGATGATGCTGTTGCTGCAGTTTCTGGTGGGGCAGCACTGAATGATGTGCGACTTGATTGATTCTGCTAGCGTAGCCGTCATTGCTACAAAAGCAGACTCACACTAGCAGTTAGCAGTGGCCAGCACAAACTTTGTGTCTGTATAGCCAGGTTTTCAGTAGGCAGAGAATGGGAGTCAAGCTTGAATGGCAAACACACTATTTTTTTTGGTGACGCACTTTATTGGGAGACCCAAACTGACTACGGACGTTCACACGCGCAGAGAAAGTCCTTTGACATACAGCAGTGGCAGCAGTCAACTGACTGCAGTGTGCTTTGCAATTAATTGTCAGCGCCTTGATGACACACTCACTAACACTAACTTTCTTCTGTACCTTTTTTCGCACCTACAGGCACTGGCGAGAGTGGGAAGAGTACTTTCATTAAGCAGATGAAAATCATCCATGGTTCAGGGTACTCTGACGAAGACAAGAAGAGTTTCATCAAGTTAGTCTACCAAAACATCTTTATGGCGATGCAAAGCATGATTAAAGCCATGGATATGCTCAAAATACCGTACAAAGACCCGAGGAACACGGTTAGTAGCACATCACGCCCTCTTTTTACTCGGTCTCAACTGTTGCACTTATCTCACCGATTCATTATTTTTTTCATTTGACGCAGGAAAATGCCGAACTAGTTCGCTCGGTAGACTATGAAACAGTGACCACATTCGACAGTCCATTCGTGGAGGCGATAAAAGCACTCTGGCAAGATTCAGGCATTCAAGAATGCTACGACCGAAGAAGAGAATATCAGCTCACCGACTCTGCCAAATAGTAAGTGCCCAATCACTGAGAGGCCCTCTAACCCAGTTCTGACCTCTTTTTGTCTTCCTCCCTTTACGCCCTTTACAGCTATTTAAGTGACATTGACCGAATAGCCAACACCGAATATTTGCCTAACCAACAAGACATCCTTCGAGTCCGAGTGCCCACGACGGGGATCATCGAATATCCATTCGACTTAGATTCGATAATATTCAGGTAACTGACTGAATGGATGACTGACTTTAGCTTCAGTTTTAATTGCTAATTGCCCTTCTCCTTACAGAATGGTCGACGTAGGGGGCCAACGGTCTGAAAGAAGAAAGTGGATACACTGCTTTGAAAATGTGACCTCAATTATATTCTTAGTTGCGCTTAGTGAGTACGATCAAATTCTCTTTGAGTCGGACAATGAGGTACGGTGATTTTTTATCGTCACACACTGCTGCTGATGACGACGACGGCAGTTGACGCACAGCTGAGTGGATCGATGCAGACACTAATGCATTCTATTTCTTTTTCTTTCTCTCTTTTTCTTTCCCATGCAGAATCGAATGGAGGAGAGTAAAGCACTGTTCAAAACAATAATCACATATCCGTGGTTTCAAAATTCGTCAGTTATTCTATTTTTAAATAAAAAAGATCTGCTCGAAGAGAAGATTCTGTACTCTCATCTGGTAGACTACTTTCCCGAATATGATGGTAAGTGTGGCGCTGGTGGTCTCTGTCGTCTGTTTATTAGTCTTATTAGATAGAAGTCTCACTCGCCATTTACGTCAGCAAAAGCTTACTACTGCCACTAAAATCGATGCCCACCGTCGTTTCTATCTCTCTTTTTTCTGTACTAATGTCAACCTTTGTTGACTTTTCTTCTCCTTCTTCTCTCACCAAAACACTAACAGGGCCAAAGAAAGACGCGTTACACGCGAGAGAATTTATTCTCAAAATGTTCGTTGATCTCAATCCGGACAGTGAAAAGATCATCTACTCACACTTTACGTGTGCAACCGGTAAGTATCGCCTGCAATAGTGCTTGGAATGTTTTCCAAATAACTAACCAATCTTTTGTTATTCTTCTTCCTCACTCTCAGACACTGAGAATATTCGTTTCGTATTTGCGGCGGTAAAGGACACCATTCTGCAGTTGAATTTAAAAGAGTACAATCTGGTCTAGAAGTGTGGGGCTGCGCCGATGTGTGCTCGTGCTTGTGGGCTTGGGGTGTGTGTGTCAGCTCAGTGCACTTACAAACACACACACACACACACTCTGGCCACCTGGTTCTTTCACAGTCTCCTCCATTGCCACACCTCCCCTTACTTTTTCGTCCGCCAACCGACTCACTACCACTACCACCACCACCACCACCATCACCACCAACACCATCACCACCACCAAGTCTGAAGTCGCTGCTAGAAATGTCCAGTTTGTGTGGTCCACGTGTCACAACCGATGTCAATGTCTCAAATGGCCAGCGTTTGAGTGAGCAAGTGGACTGCTCTTTGGAGCTCTACTTTGGAGTGCCGATGAACAACTCTTCTCTGCAAGCTCATCGTTGAGGAGTTGGTGCAGTCTGTTTTCAGGTGTGAGTGAGGACCGAGGCTGCCAGCATTGCCATCACCATCCACTAATAATGACCACGAGCGCGATGTCCCAGGTCAGCGCACGATCAAGTGTCCCACCCGTCGTCAAGTGCCACCACTTTCCATTTTTCTCTTTCTCTCTCTCCTTTTCTTCTATTCTCTTTTATTCTCTCTCTCTCTCTCTCTCTTTCTCATTCTTCTCTGATCGCTCTCTCGTCACCACTCGGCCTCGTTCCGCCAGTGCTGCCAGTTTCGGGGGTGTCACCTGTTTCGCCTGGTCCCTGATCTGTTCAGCAGTCCACCTGCCCTCTCTCTTTCTCTCTCTCTCTCATTTACAGCGAACACGTCTGATGTGTCCAGTTTGCCTCTTTTTCTTTTATTATCTCTCTTCTTTATCTCATTCTCATTTTCTCTCGCTGTCACTGCAAACTGCTGCTTTGCTTTCTTCTTCTGCTTCTTTCTTTCTTTCTTTTGCTTATTTATTGACTGGCCCGGTCCGAAGCGAATCGTCACTCGCGACCAAGCATGCACTCCCAACACAGCATACCTTCAAAAACCCCGAACACCAGCACACACCCACACACCCTCACAAGCCCACACACATACACACACACACACACTTCTTTACAAACCACTGACCCTCTGCTTGAGTCGTGCCAGAGCCAATCCGAAATGTGCGCCATCGAGAGAAGGAATCACCTAGTGAGATTCAAATTGATTATCATTCTTTTGTATTTTTTATGCATTCGCGGCATTCTCTCTCACTCTCACACACTTCTCTTTTCTTAACTGTTTTTGTATAAAAGCCGATTTTTTGTTTAATTTTCTTCTTTTCATCTTCTCTTCTCGCCCTCTCTCTTTCCTTCTTTCACTCTCATTCTCATTTTCTCTCTCTCTCTCTTTATACCTATGCAAAACTCTATTATAAATACTTAGGTCAATAAACAATTTGCATTTTGCGATTGGGCGCAGGTGAGAGAGGGAAAGAAAGAGGGGAGGACAGGTGGCCAGACAACATCAGCAACAGCAGCATTAGCAGTGGCTGTGACCAGAATCCAGTGACCAGAGAGGCAGATGCAGGAGACACTCAAATAGCCTCTTTCCCTCTCTTTCTCTCTCCCTCTTTCTTTTGCTCCACCGTTCTCTGGAGACTGGGTCCAGGCAAGGGCGTCTGTCCTGCCGAGCAGTTTGTCAATGTGCAATGGCGGGATTCTTGGGCTCACTCCAAGTGCCCAGTGTCGACCGAGCGATGCGCACTATTACCCACACACCCACACACGCCCACTGTACATACTGATTCTCTCTTTTTTCTTTCTCATTTTGCCTCGCTATACATATTACCACCACCACCAACAACAACAGAAACAGCAACTCCACAGCAAATACCACACAGCCATTTCACACACGTTTTTCAAACACACAAACACACACACACCCACACACACACACAAACGCCCATATACACTACCATTTATTTGGAAATTTTTATATTATTATATACATTCTCTATGAATATTTAAAGTTATAAAACAAACAATGCCCAAATAACTTATCTGAGATTGCCACTGGAAAATCACTGTGCAAACACTACATTGCTGAACCGAACTAATTTGGGCCTACATCACCTTCTTTTTGGTTCGGTTCTGTTCCCAACTGGCTGACCACCAACATTGCCACCGCCACAACCACAACCACAACCACAACCATCCCCAATTCTACCGTTTACCACACCTAAAACTTCCGTCAGCATCGTACACAGCAAAAAGTCTCAGATCATCTTCCTCGACGCCCCAACCAGACCTTTCAACTGCCATAAAATGAACAGCCACGGTCCAAAATGTTTGTTTCTTCAACACTGAATATTCAACATGTACACCAATAAGAAGACTGGCTCGAGGAGATGCACTACTTCAAACGAAAACTACTTTATAAAATTTTTCCGCCAGCATTACCACTAAAACTACCACAAACTCCACGAGAGAAGAGTTGTTTCAGTTGTCCCCCAGTTGGTACTCCCTCAACAAAAACCTGACTCAGTAAATCAGTGCCATTCACTTGTCACTGCAGACCACCATCACCACATCCACCAGCATTTCTATGACCACCAGCCACAACCCTTTTGTTCAGTATAACCCAAAGCAAAGCCAAGCAAAGCAAAACCAAACAGTCAGCCAGTTTCAGTCAGTCAGTCACAGCTTAGCTTCCCACAAATATTTCTTAATCAGCTTTCTTCATTTTTTCTTCAACCACTGCTTCTTCAGTCCTCCGCCGTTTAGTCCCACACCCACCCACACACTTCTCTCTACTGTCTCTTCAGCAGCACCTGTCTCCTTTTCTCCTGTGCTGGTTTGTCCTGTCCAAGACACTTAGTCGACCAGTGGGAAGACAGGTGCCACAAACTGCAAGTTTATCTTTCCGTCATTTCAACCTGTTAGTCAGTCATCTCAACTTTGTTACTCTCCACAAGTCTACATCAGTTTCAACCGCGTCTAGTTAGCTCCGTTTCCGTCTTCTCTTTAGTCAAAGGGACTTTGTATTCTGCTCTAAGTTTTTCAGTTTTCCGTTTCCGTGTTAATTTCCCCTCCACATTGGCACCAGATTTTGAGGTCTTGGCATCAGAGAGAGAGAGAGACATACACAGAACGACCACTAACCAAAAAACCGAACAACATTGAAGGCTCACAACAATGCCCTGAGCCTGGTGCTCTATTTCTTTCTTTGATTCTCCCATTCATTCATTCAGTTTCTCGTCTCGTCCGCTCTCAAGACTGTGTCCCGATGTGAGTGGACATTGGCCCTTTTTTCCACTCTCGCTCCTCCAGCATCCCCCTCCTTTCCTACAGATTCAACATTTTTTTGTTTTTCTTTTGTTTTAACTCAATACTTTTATTTTGCTATTTGTCTACCAACTACCAGCAACCAACTACACACCCACAGATGAACTCCTGACAGTTTTTCTTCTTTTTCTTTACTTCCGACCGCTTTGATCCAGGCTGGGGAATGACGAACACAAACTCTTTTTCTCTCTCGCTCTCTTTCTCCTTTCTCTCTCTCTCTCTCTCTCTCTCTCTCTCTCTCTCTCTCTCTCTCTCTCTCTCTCTCTCTCTCTCTCTCTCTCTCTCTCTCTCTCTCTCTCTNTCTCTCTCTCTCTCTCTCTCTCTCTCTTTCTCTCTTTTCACTTTCTTTTTCCTCTTTGTTACCATTTGTTAACTTCACAACTTCTCTACACACACACACACACACACACACACATACACACAATTGTGGCCAATTGAATCGATCTGCAATGTACACAACTGGCACAGATTGTGAAACTTTGTATTATAAAAACTTTTTATATAAATAAAAACAATTCTCAAATGAAATGATCTTTTACAAAAATCTCAGTGTACTGTAATCTCTTTTTCAAATTCAACTCTTATGCATATTTTACGTCATCTGTGACCGGGCGGTGATTGCGCCTGGCGCACTCGGCGCTTGTTTTGTTTTTTTGAAACTTCAAGAGTGCTAGACTTTCAAACAACTTCGAAATGGTACGGTGATCTTATCAGTTGTTGTTGGTNCTGTAATCTCTTTTTCAAATTCAACTCTTATGTATATTTTACGTCATCTGTGACCGGGCGGTGATTGGCCAGGCGCACTCGGCGCTTGTTTTGTTTTTTTGAAACTTCAAGAGTGCTAGACTTTCAAACAACTTCGAAATGGTACGGTGATCTTATCAGTTGTTGTTGGTGTAATTTTTGTTTCAATTATTGCAGAAATTAATTGCGACGCATGAAAACTCTCACGATGAGGCTATCTGGTGCATCGACTGGGCCCTCAGTGAATCAGGCAAAAATCGCATTGTGACAGGAAGCCTCGATGACACCATCAAAATATGGAACTGGTTTGTTTAATTCTCTTTCATTTTAGTTTGTCACTCATTGTTTTGTCTTTGTTGCAGGAATCCAAGAAGGCCAGAACAACTTGAGCTAGAGTGGACATTTGAAGGGCACTACCTCGGCGTTGTTGCCTTAAAATTTGACCACACCGGTAACACATTAGCGTCCGTCGCTCTAGATAGTACCATTATTCTTTGGGACCTCAGCGTTGGCGAACAGTTCCGCAGCATTGACCCCGGTCCGGTAAATGCCTGGGGGATTGACTTCTCGCCTGACTCAAAATATGTGGCCACTTCGGCGCAGTCGTTTAAGATCTTGCTGTACTCGACAGATACCGGCGAGAAGCTACCGCAAGAATATGACACAGCTGCGTGTCCTTTCGTCCAGTGCTTGGCACTTGTAAGCATTATGATTTACTGCAAATTGTTTGATTTAATGTAATCAAACTTTCATTTTAGAGCAATGATGGAAAATGGTTGGCTGGAGGTGGAACTAACGGAATAATTCTTTTGTTTGACGTTGAAGAGAAAAAACTAGTGAGCTCGTTTGGAGGGCACGCCATGATAGTTCGATCGTTGGCATTTTCAAATGACTCTAATTACCTCGTGAGCGTTTCCGATGATTCCTACGTCAAGGTTTATGATTTGCGCGAAAAAAAAGACACTGAAACGGATCGTCGCTTCAACACTATAAATTTTTCCGGTCACTGTTCTTGGGTTCTCAATGCCACTTTTGCTCCAGACAATAATCATTTTGCAACAGGGTTTGTAAACTACCATTTTTATTTATTTGACAAACTGATTAATAATACATTATTTGTTATTGTAGTTCAGCAGATAAAACCGTGAAGATATGGAATGTTGAGTCACCCGAATGCATTCACACTTTTACTAATCATAAAGATCAAGTATGGGGAGTAAAGTACAGTCCTTGTGGTAATTTTTTGGCTTCAGTGTCGGAAGACAAGTCTATTTGTATCTATCAAGTGGTGGACGATGTCAAATTGGGCAACGGACTCGACAACTTAGACAGCGGTGCCAACATCGAAATCATTGACGGTGACCATCTAAGTGACGCTGAAAATGTACAAAGTCCAGAAATCGATCAGCTGCCAGAAATTCTTTTAAGTCCAGAACATCGTAAAGCAACAGATGAAGAACTGGCTCTACCGGGGTCTAATGAGGATTCGCCAGTCGATGGAAGTCCCGATGTTGCTTTAAGTCCAGGCCGAGTTGAGGAAGTCGATCAAAGGGGAGCTGATGAAGACCCTCAAAGTCCTGAAGCTTCTTCAAGTCCAGGAAATCTTCTAGTTCTACCTGATGAAGCCCCTGCGAGCGTAGAGAGCCCGGATTACGCATCGAGTCCGGATAGCAGTGAAGCTCGACTTGCTTTAGAAAACGAAGGTGGTAACGAAGCTGAAATGAGAACTCCTGAATGAACAACTCTTCCTTGCTAACTCCGATCATCGTCATCACATCAACTTCATCAGTTTGCTGGCGTCTTTTGTGCATCATTTTCGGCCCCACTGTTCTCCTCGTCTTCAGTTGATTCGTACACCTCTTGGATTGACTCAGCTGTTTGAATAAACATTGCATTCATCATTCACCATTGCAGCCCATTCAACAGAATGTCACCTACCTGAAGAGGCGGAGGCCGTCTTGATCTTGTCCACATAGCTTGACGACGACTTTTTGCCCTTTTGGTAGTTGTTCACTGTGGCGACGATCGAGTTCATGAGGTCGATGCGTGAGTCCAGGCTTGGGAAGGGAAAAGGGCATTATAACCTATTAGGGTCTGCTTAGCAGTGGTAGTAGTTGTACCTGTGCTGTTTGTCGGTGAGCAGCAGCCCCTTGATGCGCCTTCGCAGCGCCGGACTCTGCTTCTCCCCCAGGCGCTGCATGTCGCCGAAGTAGTGGACGTAGTCGGAGCTGTTGCCGCCCCCCGCCGCCGCAAAGTCCCCCTGGTCGAAGATGGCCATGAAGCTGGCGTTGATGATCTTCGGCGTCATGGGACTGTTCGAGAGGAGGAGACTGGTGCCGAAGGCGGGAGACTTCTTCTTGATCTCCGCCAGAGAGATGCCCCCGCCGCCGCCCTTGCCACCGGCGCTGCCAACCTTGGTGTGCAGTGGGTGGCGGTGGTGGAGCACTGCGCCACCATCGCCTCCCCCTCCAATGATGCCTCCCTTTGCCTGCAGTTGCTGCTGCTGCTGCTGTTCTCCGTCGAATGCCTTGAGGACAATGGTGGCCATCTCCTTGATGAGGTACCAGTCCCGCTGGATGTCCGCCAGTTCGGTGCCGCTCGAGGTGACGGTGAAGCGAATGACGTAGGTGCCGCGCAGTGAGGCGGGCACGCAGTGCAGCTTCCCGCTTGAGTTGAGCTTCTTCAGCAGACACTCCGTCAGTTCGTTGTCGCCGCGCAGACGGAAGACCACCATGCCCAGATGCCGGCGGGCTGGCAGCTCGAAGCGACCGTCAGTACGGACCAGCTCCTCAAAGGCCATCGCCAGGCGGACGCCTTTGCGCACGTGCGCCTGCAAGNGTACGGACCAGCTCCTCAAAGGCCATCGCCAGGCGGACGCCTTTGCGCACGTGCGCCTGCAAGCCCTTCACTCCTAGGTTGCGAATGACGAACCACAGCTTGAGGGCGCGAAAGCGCTTGCTCA